TTTTCACTGAATTCATGACTTTCAATTATAAATATACTGAATAATTTCATAATCTCAGGTTATTCAATTCAATTATCCAAGAAAACAAAAATCACCTACACAAATGAGAAAACACTGAAAAGAAAAAAGCAGATAAAGGTATGATGGGTAGTTCAAATAAAACTCCAACATCCATACTTACTTGGTTTAAAAGTCTAGATTTTGGACGCTGGGAATTATTTACTAATACTGTTTTTTAAAGTATAATTACTAGGGTTATCAGTATTAACTACAAAAACTGGCACCACAGTGTATACAACCTCTTCAAAACACCACTTTAAAAATCAGTCTTCCAGTGAATATTCTTGTGGTTAAATCCAGACTGACTTTCAAATGAAATTAGAAAGATCTTTCTGATCACCTGCAATATACTTTTATTAATATTTCTGATCAAGTAATTTACTGTACTTTCTTTTGGACACTGCTTGAAAAAGAGGTAAATAAAATTTACATTCTTAATATAATTAATATGTAAACATAAGCATTACAATATAGCTTTTTCAGACTGAAGAAGAGATTATATGGAAACTGAGTCAGACCTTAAGAAAAAAGCCAAGTTAAGATGTCAGTAATATTGTTTTTAATTTCCTATGATCTCTGAATGAGTGCATGAATGAGCTCTCACAGTTCACTTCTATGCCAGTAATAACTGAGCAAAAAGAAAAAAAATTTCTTGGTTATTTCAATTTTACTCAAGCAAACTCAAATAATGTAATATAACATTTTTCCTCTTCCTTGGATCTTCTGTGTATTTCTACCCAGTACTTCAGGTAATTTAGTGTCTAGAAAAGAATGATAATTCCCAAGACCCACCACAGCTCAGAAAACATTTTAAAAGGAACATACATTACCGCAAGGATCAGATATATATATGAACTACCAAAGGCCCAATTATCAAGCAAACCTTAGTAGATCTTTACAGAATTGTGACCTTAGAATTCATTGTCATTTTCACAATTTCCTACTTCTAAAACAAAATGTATTCGACAAATGTTATTTAACTAAGGAGGTCTTTTCCTTAGCAAAGAATTTACAAACTTCCATCAAATAAAAACCTCAGTTGCTGACTATTTATGAAATGTAATTACTAAGCAATTTGGAGAATGGATTGAAAACTATCTAAAAAAAATCTTCGACAAGAAAAGAACTGATTCAAATAGTGATTCCAAATGTATTCAACTCCTTACCCACTAATCATCATGAGCCTGCCTCCTCTTGGTTCCAATCTTCTGCCATCCTTTTCTCCGCAACTTCTCCAATTCCATTTCACTATTTCAACTTATACATATACACCCCCCTTCTCCTTTTTCTTTTTCCCACATAACACCTCTCAATATTCAACTTTTATTCCTCCTTGAACTATTACAATAGAAAACCACATTGCCAAAGAAAAGGAGGAACTTTTTAATTAACAGCTTGATAAATTAGCACTTGCAGGGTTGGGGGTGAAAACACACACAACACACACAAAAAAACTAGACACACGTACTGTTGTTTAGCACTTTCAAGATGATTATACGAGCTTCTGTTTGTATTAATTACTCCAGGTGAGGTCACTAAAATTGCAAGGTCAGAAATATTTAACTGAATTGATGAACTTTTAAAACTTCCAGAAAACGCCTATACATATATGTCGGGCACAGTAAAGAACACATAATATAAAGTATAAACACATGAATATAATGGTACATACAACAAATATTAAGAAACATAAAACCCAAATGATAAAATATTTAAATTCTACTTAAGATGGGCATTATTTTGTGCATAGTTGCCAGCATACTTCATTTCTAGCCTAAAAAATGCTTATCACTCGAGATGTTTTCACAAAACCACACCACAAAAAAAAAATCTGTGGAAAAGGAAAAAAAAAAAGGGTTTTTTTAAAAGCACTGAAAAGTTAACTGAGAACAATGTCTACTAGTTGCAACATTATGCTTTTTAAAACAACACCCACTTTCTCCTTTTCGTTAAAAAAAAAATAATAATACATAGCAAATATCTGGGACACATGGCTACCACTAAAAGCGAACAGAGAAATAGAAGACAGAAGAAAGCAACTTGAAAGAGCGAGAAGAGTTTTACTATACTTTGCTGTATTGGGTAGAGGCAAATAACACATCTGGAGTTTAAAAATTAATGGATTACCTAGTTATCTAAATAGCTTCATAATTAGTCCCCCCAACCCCACTACGACTACTGAATAAATCCAAAGATTGCTCTGAGATACGGAAATATCTACACACTCATAGAGAGAGTAACTTCACTTTTGGTAAGACACTGGAGGGTTTAAGAAAAATTAATTGATGCCTCACTTATCTAAGGAAAAACAACTCGAACTTCGATACCAAAGTTTATGAGAACGTTTGCTTTTAACGTAAAACATTCATTTTGTTACTGTAAATGGGACCTAAAGCCATCCCTACACATCCAAAACAGCAACCTCAGTAACAAATCAGTCATCAGCCTCTCATCAACAATTATGAGTCAACAGGCACGTACAAAAAGATTAATAAAAGACTTTATTCTGACATCAGGTATTGCCAGACACCTAAGGCATCCCGCCAAATACTACCCAAAAGTAATGATAAGCACGGAAAGTTAGAATGAGGAGGAAGTTATCGCTGACTAAATAAATGGGATTCGAGGATGCCCACAGAGAGGAAACGGAAGGCGGTTCTGGGCGTCTGAGAGAGGGCAGCGGAGAAAAGTACCGCAGCAGAAACAGGCGGCAGAATGGTTAACAGATCTGGAATTCTTTAGAAAAAGGAAACAAGAAAAGCTGACAGGAACGTCTGAAAGTAGGAGAAACGGTATCCCATGGAATCGTCACGTCTGCACGAGCGCGGCTCCGGCATTCCAGCGGGCGGGACCGGGATGGAACTAGGACTAGGCGGGGGTGAGGGCGCCCGGGTGAGGGGCGCGGACGCTACTGCAGGTGGCGGGGCGCCCGCAGGGGGGTGGGGAGGAGGAGCGAGTCGCCTCAATGGGGTCAATGTCTACCTTCGGAACTCCAGGGAGCCGACACGGCACGTCTCCCGGCAGCAAGAGGCACTCGGCCCCGGCCCCTCCCTAACAACTTGCCTTATAGAAAGAGTTGCGGGTCCCAAGCCCCCGGAACCCAGGGCTCCGCCATCCAGGACAACTGCTCTGCCAACAAGGTCCCGCGAGAATCGGGAGATCTCGCGATACAAACCCACTACCATCTCGCGAGTTTCCTCTACAGCCAACATGGCGGCCCAGAAATTTCAGTATTTCGGAACTTTAGAAGAAGTGTTTCATGAATGAGATGGAGAACGTGTACAAGAGAAAAGGCTGGAAGTCTTTCCGCCTTACACTTCTCGCCCCATCACCCTCGCTGAAAAGAAAAACAATAAACTGTAAAATCTCGGAAGAGCACGACGAAGCGACAGAGACTGCATCCCTCTGCCTCCCTGCCTGTCACGTGGAAGCAGCTCCCCGGCGTGCCCGTCACGTGGGCGCGACTGCGCGAGCGCGCGCCCGTCGCCCTCCCCGAATCCTCCCCGCCCCCCTTTCGCCCGCGCACACGTGCGCGCGCACCCCGCCCCACGTGGGGGCTTAGCCGTCGCCGCCGTCGCCGCCACCTCCTCCTGCCCACCCCCTCCCGGCGTAGGGTTCCAAATCCGGGTCCCAGAGCCGACCGTCCCCCGGTTCTCGCCACCATTCTCCCCCCCGCCGCGTGTGGCCCCCAACACGTGCCCCGAGAGCCTGCTCACCTTTCGCGCGGGGCCGGGCGCCGCGGGTCGCTCGGGGAGGCGCCGCCGCCGTGGCCGCTCTCCGCCCCCGCCACGGCACTTGCTCGGGTGGCCGCCGCCGCAGGAAGCTCGACAGCGGCGCCTCGGCGCTTCCAGGTGGGTCCCCGCCTCCCGCTCCTGCCACTTCCCGCAGCACCAGCGGCTCCTTCCGGTCCCCTCCTTTCTCCTCCTGGTCGGGACGGGCGGGCGGCGGCGGCTGCAGACGCGCTCACTACACCGCCTGCTGGTAACCGCGGCCGGTGCAGCGCTGCGGGGCTGGGGGCCGCCGCCCGCCGCCCCCGGGGGCCGCCCCCGCCCCTCGGCGAGAGTCGATCTTCTGTGGGCTGCACCCAGTCCATCCCCTGCGGGACGCTACCTGGCCCTACGGGTGGAGGGAGGAAGGAGTCTCCTTGGCCCCGCTGTTGGAAATCCGCTTCATCTGTCCGCTGTGGCCTCTTGAGATTTGCAGACCTTAGCTCCCTTGGCAGTGTCGTCTCGGGCTAGGATAGCATCTGCATATGTGCATCATGTGTTCCTGTGCCTTCCTCATCTCTAACCGCACGGCCCCCTCGCCCAGCCCGCGGGCTTTCCGGCTGTTCTGCAGCACGCAGGCTCGATCCACTTCAGGACTCTGCGCTTGTTGTTCCCTCTGGCCAGAAACCTTCCCCCAGATTTCCTTTAACTCGTGGCTGTTCAATGCATATTTCAGCTTCCTTCAAAGGTAGTATCTGAGGCTTCTCAGACCACTCTATCCGAAATAACACATTTGCACCACCTGTTACACTACCTTTTTCTCCAGGCCTTTTTTTTTTATCCCCCGTCTTCCTGCCACTAAGAATGTCAGAGCTTTAAAAGCAGGGATGTTGTAACTTTTCCTCATTAGTGTATCCCTAGACCTATATCTGCCACAAATCACTGTTTAATAAATACTCAAGACACATCGACGACCTATATGGAGCAAGCAGAAAAGTAGATCCAGCACCCATTAATGGAAATAAGCACATCCTTTGGATTGATAATTCCGTTCACAACCTCACCTTTTACCAGCTGTGGGGAAGCTGAGCAAAATCTTCCCTAGCTATAATATTAAGGATGTTCCAAAATATAAAATCCAGTGATAGAAGCCATTAACTAGAACACTTCTGCAATTGTTAAGTACTACTTCATTGCCTTTGTTTTACTTGTCTTTGGAACTTTTTTTTCCAGGCAAGTGGATATGTAACTTTTATTTTGCTAATAAAAGTTATAAATGGTTTGAATGACATTTCCTGCTGTTTTCATTGAGAGCTCAACTCAAAACAACATGTGCTTCAAGACCAAGGTTGACAGGTATATTTTTATATTACGTGTATTTCAGTCAGTCTGCCTTTAAGAACAATCTCTTTTGAAATTAATTGGTGGCAGGCCTTAAAATAGAGACTTCAAAATAAAACAAGCTTTCTCTACCTTGCTCCATATGCTTATAGAACTAACTACATTCTATTTATAATAACCATCACAACCCTCTCTTCCCAAGTCCTATGTGCCAGGCAATATTATATATATTATATGCATTATAAATATATAATGACTTATTCTATTTTAGATTTTCAACAGTCCTGAGATACATATTGTTTGCAGTGTGCACTGAAATCTACTCCCCTAGCAACCAGGAATGCTGCCCACAGCCAGCCTTAAGCTATGTTAGAAAAACAAATATAACTAAGTAAATTTGAATGTCTAATTGGCTTTATTAGATTCATGAATCATGCAACATCTAATCTGTCAAGCAGATCCTCTGGGTTGCACAATATGGAAGGCTTTTATAGAAAGGGAGAACAAGGAAGTCATCACTAAGAAGTGAAAGTTTATTGGAGAAAAGCATTCAGGTCACTACCACTTCACAGTTGACTGAACTATAGATTCCATTGGCTGGGTTTGTTGCTAATCTAAAAATAAATCCTCCTACTGGCATAGTGAGATAGTTGCACTTCTGTTTGAGAATGCAAGATACCTCTCTTCCTGTGGGTCTCTTACTGAGTTTCTTCCTGTTTGGGGCTGCTTACAGGTGAGGGAGAACATGAGAGCTCCCTCTACAGGCCTTTCCCACTCCAATTTTAGTTGCGGTTTTCTTTATTAAAGTTAACTGCTGTCAGACGTCTGGCATTGTACAATGTCACACCCCTTCCCATGGAGGCCACATCCAATTACTGATGAACTCAGAGATAAAAATGGTCCAACCCTCTCACCTCTACTTGGGGCAATTCTGATGGCGTATCCCATCTCCAGAACAACCTGCGTTAGCTTAGAATTTCATTAAAACTGTATTATAGGGGCCTCCCTGGTGGCACAAAGGGTTAAACACAACCTATGAAGCTATCTGCAGCCACTGCAGCATGAGTTCGATCCCCAGCCAGGGAGCAACCCACATGGCACAGCAGACCTCTCCTGACTTGCCCACTGCTCCCCTCAGCAGTGTATTTCATTCAGCTGCCTATTTCTGTTCCCCACTCTTATCTCTGATGAATCCTCTTGCCCCCCACACCCATTTCTGGCCTGTACCCCAGTTCTTGTACGCATAAATAAATCTTAAAAAAATAAAACTGTATTATAGCTCAACTATTCCCTCTGCCCAAGTCTTATTTCCCTCCCTCTCACTAGTGATGATCCCAGGAACATTCTCTAATAAATCTTCCCACTAATATAAGTCGGCTTCCAAAGGAATCCAACATGTGAAACATGTCCTGTTGAGAAAAGTGGCAGAGTGACTTGCCCAAATGTGAAATTCATCTCTCTATAGATATAAATACTGTGGGAAATAATTTTTATAAAGTTAGTATTTGACAAGCAGAGCAAAACAATCTCAGCTGATGGAACTGCATGAATGGGAATGTACGAGGGAAACTATATGGCAGCCCCAAATGGCTGGTCTGTAGGGTCGTGGAGCAGGCATTAAAGGAGTGCAGGAGACAGCAGTGTATTTCAGTAGATCTGCCTGTTCTGCTCCCCACTCTCTCTGGTGAATCCTCTCACCACTACCCCCCACCCACACACCTCTGGCCTACACCCCAGTTCTTATATGCATAAATACATCCTTTTAAAAAAAGGAGGGAGGGGGAAAGGACCAGCACATTGATTGTGAAGAAGGTAGTCAAGAAAGAAGACTCTGAGCCTGGGAATAAATCTTGGCCAAATAAAAAGGGATTAGAGCCCCTTAGATCTTCATTTATGTAGTAGAGGAGAAAAGGAACTTCTTTGCTCTTGGCAAAAGCAACCGCTGCCAACCTCCCTGATGAAAATCATTCCTTATGTTAGATTACTATATGACCTTTGTTATTTCATCTAGGATCATAGAATACTAAAGATGAAGGAGACTTCAAGATCTTCTAATTCAGGGGCTTGTACAGTATTTTCTGAAGCATTGATGTTCCTTTTTCAAGCAGCTTTATGCCAGAATCAAATATTTAACCCAAATAAAAGGACCTGGGAAAGGACAACCATTGACATCTCCCTTAGCCCCTTACTAGGTAAGACTCTGCCACAGAAAGTGCTGTGAAAACTACTGATATCATTCATTTATTCATAGTGCTGGAGAGAGAGTAGTGCATTCTAGGGAGGGAGGCTGACATCCAACAAATAATCACAGATACTTTACGTAAATTCAAACTGATATGTACCATGAATGAAAACTGCATGTCACTATGAGAATATGTCCATATGTGCCAAAATGTGTGTTCTAAGGTCTTTAGACAGAAGGAAAAAGGAAGCATTCCTGAGGAAGAAACATTTAGGCTGGCGCATTTGGGAGTGAGTAGGGCAGAGTATAGAGGAAGCACTCCAAAGTGAGATTTGATACAAGGGATGTACTTAATAAAAGTGTAGGACAAACTTACCACTACTAGGAAGCCACTGTTTTTTCTATGGAATATATAAAATCTGATATGAAACAATGTATCCTAATTTTTTCCATTAGATATTTCCTGTATCAAATATTCTTCAAAAATCCCAAGAGATGGGCCTCCCCGGTGGCGCAGCGGTTGAGCGCTGGGTTGTGAAGCTGCCCGTGGCCTCTGTGGCGCCGGTTCGATCCCTGGCTGCTCCCCGGCCACCGGAGGAGGGTCCCCACATGGTGCCGCCCGCTGCTCCCCTCAGCAGTGTACTTCGGTCCTTCTGCCTGCTCTGCTTCCCACTCAGCTTCTGGTGAATTCTCTCACCCTCCCACACTTCTGACTGTACCCAGTGCATGTATAAACAAAAACAAACAAATAAATCAACAAAACATGCCTCTATTAAAAAAAAAAAATCCCAAGAGATGGTTATATAATTTAATCATTTTTCTATTTGGGGCATTCAGGCTGTCCCAAGTTCCTACTATTGTAAATTACTGGACTAATGAATACATTTGTTTCTAAATATGTATCCAGTTATTTTGGGGGCTGAATCTCTAAAATTTTGATAGCTGATTAAATTTGTGGGTAAATTCAAATCTAGAATTCGAGGGAGATGGAGGTATCACTGATGACTATAGTTAAAAAGTACAAGTAAAGTAGAAGCAAGGAATGAGGGAAAAGTTATAGTTTGGTTAGTTTTGCTGAGTTTGAAGTAACTTGTACATACAAATGAAACAGCCCAGGAGTCTGCTGAATAAGTATGTTTGGGATGCAGGTTCCAGGTTTGAGCTAGAATTTCAGATTTGTGAGTCTTCAACACACAAGTAGTAACTGAACTGGTTTTATATTAGATTGCCCAGGGAGAACATATAAAATGAGAAGAGCTGGAAATGAAGAACAAAACCCTGAAAAACAAGGCAAAAAAAAAAAAAGTGACAACTAGAGAGGATAAATGACCTAGAAAAGCAAAAGAAAAACTAGGTTAGGATGGTACCTACAAACTATGGTGGAGGAAATTTAAAAAAGGTAGTCATCAACATCAATTAGACAAATTCACCAGACATCTCTTCTATGCCCTGCTCTAAGAGAGAAATTCTTTTGGTGGAGAAGATGTACATCACCAAAAAACCCTATATATTTGACATTTTTTTGAATTGTATTTTGCTTATTTCTAAAATCACGTTGTTTACAAAAAAGTATAATAGGTAAAATAGAACTTTAATTAATCAACATGGGATTATTAAGGCAAAAGAAAATAGAAGAAAAATAATGCACAAAACTACTTGTTCTGAAGTCCTGAACACTTTCTTTCAGCTTTCTGAAGATAATGTAATAAGGAAAAAACAAGATGTGTTGTGTGACTGTCTCCATATACATGGGATAATAAAGAACCAATTGCTCTCTGGAGACATTATTATTGCCAGTACTAACATCAAAGTTAAGTTTTTCCCATTCTCTCAAAACAAGATTCTGTAATATAATCAACAGCATCCTTATAGTAAATCCAACAATTTTATGGGATTCTTCATCACATCCCTCAATCTAGGCTGGAGATAAATTCTGCTAACTTGAGAAAGATGAACAACATAGCCTAGGTTAAAAAAAAAAAAACTTAGTCTGATTTTATTCTAAGAAAGATTTGGTAATATTTAAAAGAATGAATTACACATTTTCAGAGGCCTTCATTCACGAGCCTCCATTTAGTTGATACAGTCCATACATTTGTCACCCAGATCCCAGCTGACTCCAGGAGCACCAGGCTAGTATGGGTTTTGACATTTATATCACAGATCCAGAATCACTTTCCTTTCATCTTCCACAGTGCATTTACAGGGTGATGAGTATTTTTTTAACAGTCCCTGAAAAAGGAATGCTAAAATTAGAAAATCACCATTTGTAATTGGTAATGAAATAACTGATTCAGGTAATAATCATTCAATAAAACTATTAGTTGAAAACTTAGTAACTTTACAATGAAAGGATTAAGTAAGCTCTTGCTATCTATATCTATTGATCATTTCTTTTATCTGTAAAAGTGGAACAACCAGATACTGTGTGACCCTCTTCTGCTTCCTTCACCAGACTGATCAAACTTGGCAAACTGATACATTGGCATCTACCAGTGAACTTCACTTCCTGGTATTTATACCTTCACTTCCTGGTATTTATACCTTCACATAGTTTCTTACTAATGAAAACGACACTGCCAATTCAGTCCTAACTCTTTAGAAGCCTGCATTTTCTTTCACCCTCTTGGAATCCAGCTACCATGCAGTAAGGAAGATCAGACTATCCTTTGGGAGAGAGAAGCCACATGGAGAGGCCTTGGAGAATGAGATCATACGGAGAGAGGCCTTCATGTAAATACAGTACTTCAGTCAACAGCACCAAGGAACCAGTTAAATTAGAGGACTTACCGGACATTCCAGCATAGCCTACTTGCCAGCTCAGTGCAGCCTCATGAATGACTCCAAACAGCACACAGAGGAGAAGGAATCCACAGATTATTTTTTAATTATGCATGTTTTAAGCCAGTAAATTATAAAGTGCTTTTTTTATACCACAAATGCACTAGTCTTCGGGCCTCTCCTGGTGGTGCAGCAGTTGAGCGCTGGGCTGCGAAGCTGCCAGCAGCCTCTGCAGCGCCAGTTCGATCCCCAGGTGCTGGCGAGGGTCCGCATGGCGCGCAGATCTCTCCTGCTGCCCACTGCGCCCCTCAGCAGTGTATTTCGTCAGTATGCCTGCTCTGTTCCCCGCTCTGGCTCTGGTGAATTCTCTCACCCTCCCGTGCTTCTGACTGTACCCAGTGCTTGTATAAATAAATAAATAAATAAATAAATCTTAAAAAATATATATTAAAAAAAAAACAAAAAACACATGCATTAGTCTTCAACCTGAGTAGCATGTATCTTCACTGTTTTTTTATTCATGAGCAGCCTCACAGATGCCCACAACCTGTAGCAGCCCACATGGGTGAGGGACAGAGAACTGAAGGAACTTAAACCCAAAGGGGTTTTCTGATAAATTTACACCTGAATAATTGCTATCATTATTATGCCTCCATAATTTTGCTACATGAACACAATGTAGATAGGAATTATTGAAGTCAGTATCCATTCAACCGCTAATAGGGGAATGGACTGGTACCCTTGACTTCCTTCACTAGTGATAAGTGAAAAGCAGTACAATAACATGCATCTGCAACCAAAATTAAGGGCATATCTGCAAAATAGGGCATATCTGCAACCAAAATTAAGAGCTATACTGTGTATTTACTATGTATTTCTATCTTTAAAAGCATTTAGTTTCTAAACACAGGAAGGAAAGCACCTCCCTGGTGGCTCAGGGGTTAATGTCTCAGCGCTACCAGCCACTGAGGTCAAAGTTGGATCCCCAACTCACATGACACAGCAGACCTCTCCTGTCTCGCCCACTGCTCCCCTCAGCAGTATATTTTGGTAGATTCTGCTCCTTATTCTGTCTGGTGAATCCTCTCACTACTGCACCTCTGGCCTACACCCCAGTTTCTATGCATCAATAAAAATAATGAATCTTTAAAATAAAAAAAAAGAATGACAGGCAATAGATTCTCATTTGTATGAGGAATCTGAGGCCAGAGTACTTGTCAAGGTTGCACAGCAATTAAGTGGCAGAGCCAGTATTCAAACACAGCAGGTTCTCAAATAAAGCATTTCCTTTAGTGATCAGAAAGAAAGGACACCTGCAGTTTCCAAGAATTTATTGTCAGAAGGACTCTGTACAAGCATTAAAAGTAGGACCTATTTCTCCCTCTGTTGATCCACCATATAACTTGTTTTAGCCAATAAAATATTGCAGATAGGGCACAAGCAGACTTGAAAATGTATCACTCCTCTACCATGACCAAGAGAATGTGCCTGTGGTTGGCCTGCTGTAGGACAGAAAAAACTGCCAATTTGCTCGTCATCTCAGTGAAATTATTCTAGATCAATCCAACCCAAGACAAATGAATGAGCCCAATCAAGGTCAAATTTCTTTTCAAATTGTTGAGTTTTAGGTGACAGACATGCCTATAAATATATATATATATATATATATATATATATATATATATTCAGCAGTTAGAAACCTGGGGCTATTTCTAGAATAGACATAAAGGTAATGAAATATAATCAACAAAGATTTAAGATTCAACACCCAGACTGAGAGGTAAAAAAGAAGAGAGAGCAAATAGATAAGCAGGGGTAAACTGATAAAATGCAGCAGCATGAAAGTTTAAGAGTAGTTTTAGGATATAGTCACCGAAAAGCAGTCATTGGGGTTTCTAATTGGAAATTTACTTGATTTCTGAGAGAAGCAGAAGTTTCAGAGTCAAACACATTTGGGTTTGAATTCTGACACTTCATAGTTGTATATACTTGTAAACATGTTTAGCCTCATGTATGACATTGACTAAGAATTCAACCTGAGAGGTGACAGTATTAGTTTTGAATAATAGTTCTTTTTTTTTCTCTTACAGGATTCATTTATCATCTAATTCCCTAACCCACAATTCTTCACCTTCCATTGAGTTATGGGAGTTGCTTCAAAACACATGAAATAGCTTCTGATATAATTACCCACATGTAATATTCCCTAAAAATTTCAGCAGAATCCCCTAAAAAGTTCATTCTCTCGCATTACAGTAGGTATCACACTCAAAAAATCTAACATTAACACAATAACATTTATACCCATGATCAAATTCCCTAATTGCCCCAATATTGGTCCTTATAAATTTTTCCTTCAATCCAGGTAACATTAGCTGTCATGCTCTTACTCTTCATCAGCCTTTTTGTCTCTTATAATACTAATTATTTTAAATATCTAGGATAGCTGTTTTGTACAATGTGCCTTTTAAAAAAAATTATCTTGGTTTCCCCTCCCCTGCATAATTAGTCAGATTAAACATTTTGGGCAGGATTCTTATGTAATATACATTTTGAAAAGGAGAACAAAAATGAGAGGTTACATCATTAAGTGCCCAATTATACTAATTATATATAATATACATATAATTATCATAATCCTCTGATCAAGTATGACAGACTTGCAGATTCTCAGACCACTCTTCAAGAAAGTACTTACCACACAGCTGAAAGGAGTGTGCTGGGCTGATAGGATCTAGCTGGTAGTTCTTCCAGGCTCAAGGTAATCACTAGGTAATCTTCCAAGGTAATCTTCCAGGTAATCACTAGTCAGTGACAAAACGGGCCTATTTCTGCCCAGTGCAGGACTCATCTCTCTATGGAATAATCTTAGTTCTGGAGCTCCCCAAAAGGCTGGGAGAGTCTTTGTCAGGTCAGCATTAGGGTGTGATATCGCCTCTGTTCAACCCTTCTTCTTCCCACCTTCAGATATCGTTCCCCAACCAATGATTTGTACTTATAATCCCATCTCTGCATATGCTTCCTAGAAAACCCAACCTGCAAAATTCTTAACAGAGGAAGAAAACTGGAGATCAGAGAATTTTACAGTACAGCTGAAAGGTGGTATTTAGGCAAACTGACTCCAAGGTCCAAAAAAACCTCACACCATTGTTATAGACCAATGTACTCTTAAATAAATAGGCTTTCGCTCTCCTTTGACACAATTTTCCTATTTTGTAGCTTAAGTATTTCCAAGAAAATCATCTTCAGAAAAACCATTTCTTTTATCCCACATCATAAGCTTAGGTGTCAACACACAAGCTAATATTTAGCTGAGAACCTATGGAACTGCTATCCCTTCACTTAGTATATAGTGTTATGTATTTTGATGATCATATGTAAGTTCTTAAAGGCTAGACTATTTTTATATTCTCTATCCCAATAATGCATTAATGAATGTGACTATATAATCTGTTTCAAAGAAATTCATAAGAAAAGACTATATCATGGTGAATAAGAGCATTTCAACATTGATGAGTTGAAAATCCTGTATCTCTCACTTACTTGCTGTATGACTTTGGGCAAGCCACTTGACCTCTGTCATAGAGTTGTAATAAATATGAGTAAAGCACTTTAGTAGACTGGCTAATACATAAGGATTCAGTTAATGGTAATAAACACTACTAAAAACAAATCTGTTTTGAATAACTCCTAGATGCCAGGCATTATACTAAACTCTCATTAAATCCTTCAAGAGGATCACAGTATAATGATAAGGAAAAAGAATGCTAAACACTAAATATATTTTTTTTAATTCTAATCTTAAGTGGGTGATTATACACTCATCATTTCATTAAACATCAAAACATCAACTCATCAAAACAGCAACACTACACCAAATGACTTTTTATTTTGCACACTTCTGACTAAGAAACAACATACATTAGTAACATATTTTAGGACTCTTACCTTTTAATATCTGTCAAATATATTCAACACCCAAGTTATACATTTTAAAATCATTTATTGAACTAATTTTAACAACACTGTTTTAGTTAGTGGCAGCTGCCCCAAACCAAAACAAAGTCATAATCATCATGAATGCTTTTCAACACCCTTAAAGTAATTCAGTTTGTTTTTGTACTTGGAATATAGTACTTTTGACATCACATAATCAAGCAAAGAGCAGTGCACACTATAGTATTCAAAAAGACTTTATGCATTTCATTAAAAAATCATTTGCAAGTGGCTTCAGCCTTATCAACGATTTCAATGACACATTCCCTATTTCATGCTCTCAAAATAAAAAGTGCCCTATAACTAACTTTTTTTTTTTTTACTAACATTAGTGAATACTACCCAGGGTTATAGGAATAGAAGTTTAACATTTTACAGTATAAGGGGCAATAAGTTATTGATATCTGCTGACACAAATTCCACTCAAACTAAATACATCCTCAGTACATTCAAAAAGACATTTTGTAAATATTAATATGCTATTTTATATGTTGCAGTGCAAAAGAAGTGACAACCTAATGTTTCCTGAGCTTTAGGAAATTAACATTTTTTTCTATGACTCTCATTTAAAATAGGCTTTTTATTATATGAAGCCATGTCAAAACTATACAATTAAATTAGATTTCTGAAGAAATGAAAAGATTGACCAGTTATGGTAGTTTAGAGTAATGAAAGTTTCAAAGTGAAAGTATTTACAACACTACCAATGACAGCAGGGATTTGCATGTAATATAAAGATCAAAGACAACCTACTGATTACCAAATGATCACAATTACCCCTTCCCTTTCAAAAATATTACACTGAAAGATTTATGGTAAGTTATTTGTCATTAAATATTAACAACCTGTAGTATATTATACATTTTAACACATTCTTCCATAATGCCCAGTAAGAAGAAATAAAGATAAAGTTTAAAAATCAAGGAAATAAACATGCTTGTAGGAATGTCTTTGCATGTGTATATGGCATGGGAAATGGAAATTATTTCTCATTAGAACTCTATAGCCTCAAAATTACAAAGACCGGGTTTCTACTTCAATTTTTTCTTCTGTTTGTAATATGTCAGGGTCAACATGAACAACTGGAGGTCGCAGGATAACTTCAGGCCCTCCACCATATATAGACTGGAGAAAATTCCATGTTTCTTCAGAAATTTGACCAGAATCTGCTCCTAAAATCAAGTATAGAAAGAGTAATATTTACAAATCTACTTTTCCCTATTGAAAAAGCTTCCATAATGTACCCCCCAACATAAATA